ATTTTACGTGTCCTGAGGGTGACACTGTTGCATGGCATTTCAGTTCCAGTAAGGGATCGGAAGGGCGAACCCCCTTCCCTTGCTTCTTCTGAAAGATAAGGCTGGCATAGTTCTAACAGTGCTACGACTTTCTGAAAAACTCATTCTTTGGGGTGGAAGCACAAGTACATCACAGAATCACAGAATCATAGAATGGCCAGGGTAGGAAGGGACCTCAAGGATCATGAATCTCCAACCCGCCTGCCACATGCAGGGCCACCAACCTCATCACTTAATGGTAGACCAGGCTGCCCAGGGCCCCATCTAATCTGGCTTTGAACACTTCCAGGGACGGGGCATCCACAACCTCTCTGGGCAGCTGTTCCAGTACCTCACCTCTCTCTCTGTAAAGAATTTCCCCCTGACATCCAACCTAAATCTCCCTTCCCTCAACTTAAAACCATTTCCCCTCATCCTGCAGTTATCTACCCTTTCAAAGAGTTGATTCCCCTCCTGTTTGTAGGCTCCCTTTAGGTACTGAAAGGCTGCAATGAGGTCACCCCGCAGCCTTCTTTTCTCCAGGCTGAACAAGCCCAGCTCCTTCAGCCTGTCTTCATAGTGGAGGTGCTCCAGTCCCCATCTACATCACATCTTTAGGAATCTTGAAAAGGTTAATTCATATAAAAAGTAGCATGACAGAGCCAACACATTTGCACTGTGGTTTCAGGAAAGCAAATTTATCTAATAGAAAATGTTCCTTTATTTCAGAAGATGTCCAGGCCAATTTTCAGGAGGATGAGTAATTTATTCCTTTTTGGTGCTGAAGCTTTCCTAATGCAGTTTTAACTCATGGCTCCCATGTGTTGTCTGCTTCAAAGTCCCTCTTCCCAGCATCATTTTCATCATGGAATTATCTTTTTTCCATGTTGCTTTCCTTTTATGACAAATAGGTACCATACATTTAGGGACTTCAGAGCACTTCAGGCTTCTAAGCAGCTTGAACTTCTTAAAAATTAACTAGAAGAAAACATCTGGTCACACACAGTGGTGAACAGTGCTGGCATCAGACTTCTGTGAGATAAAAGAAATCTGGAAAACTGAAATGATTAAAAAATGCTAGTTTGCCACAGGAGACAGACGAATATTTCTACCATAGGTACACAGTGGCTTTTGGTAAAATATACTGGAATGTAGATCAAAGCTATTTAAAAAAAAGTTCTTGAATAGTTTAAACTCTGAGTCTTTTAAGGCACTCTTAAATTATTGCCTGCATATACAATTCAGTCGTCAGCTGCAAACTTCTTTAAATGTGATTCTTGGTTTTGCAGCCTGGACTTCTTTGTAACTACAGCAGATACCAAACTTCTCCTGCCCTGTTTTGAAGAAATGGAATTTCTATACAAAATAAAATAGACCTTAGCTTGAGAAGAAAAAAAGGAAATTATTTTAACAGTGCTTGGGATTCCCATGAAAATATAAATCCTCCACCGTGCTTGTATCTCTTCTAACTACTAATGGGACATTAAAAAAAAAACAACAACACAAACAACAACAACAACAAAAACCAACTACACAACCCAACAGCACAAATCAGAACAAAGAAAAAACCACTTTTGGTTAAAGTGAGCAAGCCTGACTGAGTCCCCACGTACTTTCTTCAAAGTCTATTAAACTGGATGCAGTCTTGAATAATCAGTGGTAAACCTGCTCTGATTTATCCTTCCAGTAAACAGTGTATGAACTCTTGTGTTAAGGCATGATTTGATCCTGTCTGTATTCACTGAGTTGTTTTATTTGGAGATTTTGAGATCAACTGGCTCACAGTACTGTTTTGTGGTGCCCATTTGCACACACAATAAGCTGTATGTAAAACAGGAAGGTGAAACTCCAGTTTGGCTTGGATTTGTTTCCATAAGTGGATGGAAGGCAAATGATATCCTGGGCTCCATCAAAAGAGGGGTGGCCAGCAGGGACAGGGAGGTGATTGTTCCCCTCTACTCTGCTCTTGTGAGGCCCCATCTGGAATACTGCGTCCAAGTGTGGAGCACCCAGTACAAAAAAGACAGGGAACTTTTGGAGAGGGTCCAGAGGAGGGCCACAGAGATGATCAGGGGACTGGAGCACCTCCCCTATGAGGACAGGCTGAAGGAGCTGGGCTTGTTCAGCCTGGAGAAAAGAAGGCTGCGGGGTGACCTCATTGCAGCCTTTCAGTACCTAAAGGGAGCCTACAGAGGGGAGGGGAATCAACTCTTTGAAAGGGTTGATAACTGCAGGACAAGGAGAAATGGTTTTAAGTTGAGGAAGGGGAGATTTAGGTTGGATGTCGGGGGAAATTCTTTACAGAGAGAGAGGTGAGGTGCTGGAACAGCTGCCCAGAGAGGATGTGTGATGCCCCATCCCTGGAGGTGTTCAAGGCCAGATTAGATGGGGTTCTGGGCAGCCTGGTCTAGCATTAGGTGGGAAGGTTGGTGGCCCTGCGTGTGGCAGGGGGGTTGGAGATTCATGATCCTTGAGGTCCCTTCCAACCCTGGCAATTCTATGATTCTGTGATTCTGTTTGCAGTATTTAATCATTTGTCTTTATCTCATCAGCCAAAATTTGTTTGCCATCGATGACAAATGCAAACAGCATGATTTAAGTGGCAATAAAATTCACCCATATAAATTTAAGGTATATGAGAATGACAACAGAGCATGGTGGAAATAGCAACTGCTAATGTAAACAGTGCAGTCCTGTGTAACAGATCTTGTTTTACAAACATTCACCCTCAAGTTCTATGCATTTTCTATTCTATTTGTAAGGTGGACATAAGTTCTTGTAGAAAACACACCAAATATTTTCTATTGGACATCATTCTTATAAGTGCAGCCTTTTTTCTGTCCCTTTAAATACTTTCTCCTTCATTTCTTAACTGAAAAAAGGCCACTAAAAGTATAGAGTTAATTTCAATAATTCACATGGAAGAAAAGAAGGCAAAAGTCTGTGTTGATTCACTATTATTTCCACTGAGATGCCCCAAAAACCACATTCCAAGAACATGACACTGCTAGCTCTCATAGAAGCTGGGGATATTTCCTCTGGGAAATATTCCATTTTCTGAATGATCCTCAGTGAGGTGTTTTTTCCCATATATCTCAGTTCTCCAGCTGTAGGAAAGGAAGATGTCTCTTCCCTACTTCACAGAAGCAATGCAGAGAATAAATACATTAAAATTCATAAGACACCAGGTGTTTTGATGCATTAAAGAGAACAGGATGATGATCATTAGCCTGAGGATTTGTATTTTTAAATATGGATGAAAATATGATTTCATGAGTTCATACCAGAAATCTTGACTATAATTAAGGCAGATTTGTACATCTGTCTCAGCCCAGTAGTAAAGTGGCAGTAGAAAGAACTACAGAGTGAACAGTTCTTTAGAACTGCATCTCCTGCAAAGCTTCAGTCTGAAAATTACCATCTGAATTACTTGTGCTCAGCCTAGATCTTTGCACAGCGCCAAAGAAGAGGGGCAAGTTGTGCAAGGGGAGATTCCTGAACAGGTATGAAAGCAAACTAGCTGGTTGAAGGGTGTCTTCCAGAGACTGAAGATGTATTTGATTTAAAGCTGGATCAGAGTAAAATGATAATTCAGATACTTAAGAAGTCCACAACAGCACTAAAGATTTTCAGTGCAAAGGCTAAAACTGTGTATATTCTGCTGCATTCAGTGGCCTTTCTGTCTAGGCTGAATTCAGGAGAATGTCAGGGGAGATTCATGTCCACAGATCACATCCCCCATCTCTGAGGGTTCACTTTTGAATGGAACCCTTTCAGATACTTCTGTTGAGAGTTAAGATGGCTGACTTGTGGGTACATTTTCTGAGGCAGTAAATTCAGTATGTCGATCAGATTACACATGTCCTGGATGATGTGAGGTTTAGAGCCATTTCAGAATCATGTGGTAGTGTCCTAATTGTGTCACATACACTGGAGGTTTTGTTATTGTTTTTTAACATAACAGACAAATACGTGGGGGAAGCACTACCTGCAAAATAATACTGTATACATGCTACATTATGCTCTCATCAGATTCCTCCATATACCATCAGTACTCTAGAAATGTGAACGCTGATTAATGTTATAGGTGTTTAGAATGATGATGAGGCTCTGCAGTAGTTCTTTGCTTTACTTCTGATTAAAACCATTCCTAAAAACAGAATCCTCACCCAAAAATTCCAGAAATTCAATTTCTAGCAACATCCTTCCTCTGTTTCTAGCAACATCCTTCCTCTCTGCCAAAAATTCCAAACCTGACAATGTCATATATAACATCACAAGAAATAATAATACATGTCATAATTTCAAAGTGGCTTCATATCTGAAATAAGTGAGGGCGAATACGTGTATCACCATGCCAAGATTCATGCACTCCACTTGTACACTTAGCATTTTTTTTTTTTTTGAAGAATACCAGATGCTTCCTGTGCAAACTTCTGTGCACATGTGCAACTGATACACTGAGAGGAAATGAATGAATTGAGAAGATAAGCCAATCTGGGCCTGAAAAGATGGTCTCCAGCTGTGAATGGAAGTGATTTATCACTGAGCTGAAGGATCAGCTTTTCCAGCTCAAACCAGCAGATACATCATTACATTTAATCCAGACTTCCACACAGATATTTAGGAGTCTTGCAATTGACTTCAGCAGAGCCAGGATTTCACCCGTAATGTTTATCTAGGCTGAAAGCCCACTCCCCACAGTTGTGTTATTATTTATTTATTTAGTGAATGTGGTTATTTCTGCAGTGGATGAATAAAAACCATCAGTGTACACTCGGGGTAGAAAGAGAGTGCAGCTGTGGATGGTTTTTAGCACAGCAAAAAGGGAGTGAGCAGCTCATAGTCCTGTCATAGTTGATGTCTGTGCAAAACTGTGAAGACTTTAAGGCTTAAGACCTTATCCTCAGGCCACAGCTCCTCCTCAGGCATTTATGTACAAAACATTATCTCCAGAAACTAGGAAGAATGAATGTAGTTACCGGATTAAGTCCAGCAGTGCATCTGCAGAGCTCATGATGGGCTTTCCACCCTCCTCAGTGCTCTCCTTCTGTGCTGCCCCACCAGGATGGATGATGGAGACCATAATTATTCCCACAATCACAGCTACAAATGTTGTCCACAGGTAATAAGTGACAGTTATGATACCCAATCGACTGGAAGTCTTGGCATCCAGGGCTGCTAGCCCAGACATTAAGCTGTGAAAAGAAAACACAAAATACATGGCACCTTATGCATAACATCAATGCAACAGAAAGCCTAATTTCCTATTATTCCATTTGCATCTTGCGTGATCGCCTTCCTATCAGCGTATTTGGAAGCTTGCAGTAACACAAAGTTGTAGCCTGTGCATCTAAAAAGATGTTTCCTTTGTGCCATATGAGATCCTGGTTTCCTGAAGGAACTTGCAAGCTCAGGCTGCACACGTGGCAACCAAATCCTACTGACTGCTCCCTGAAGCTTGAGGGACAGTTTTACACAGCCTTATGTTTGATGGCCCAGTTCACAGGAGTCATAGCAATAATCAGTCAGGCAATCAGAGCCTACACATAACTTCACAGAACTGTAGAGAGATTGGAAGGGACCTATGAAAGAAATCTGATCAGCCCTTTCATTCCTTCCCATGTGAAGAAAGACCATGACTTCAAAGTTAAAAATACTTAGGGGCAGGTTTGACATACGGTTCATTTTTCACCTAAAAAAAAAAAAAACAACAAAAACTCTTTTACTTTTTTCTAAACCCATACAAACCACAATAGATTTCTGCTTTAGTAGGGGCCATGCTGGGGAGCAGACAGACTCTGTTACTGTACTGTAAGCAGAGAAGACTCCTTCATGAGCCGGTACAGCATCTCAAGAAAATGCTGTGGTGATCTCAACCTCTTATTTCCCCTTTGGCTCTTTCCACCATTGCCAAAAGATGGTCGGAGGCCTCACAAAGCTTGTCTCAGCCATGCTATATAACTCTCTGCCATGTAGTTTAACCTCCACTAGCCCTCTTTTACAGGCAAATTAAGGCACTGCTTGGTGCCTGAACTTGCCCTTGCTACTCTGGTGTAGACCCTGCTGCTGCTTCCCAGTAATCCGAGACTGAGATGTGAGTTTCCAATCACACCTGTGTTGCCTGGGGCTTTAAATTAAGATTTAGCTTTGAATAATCTGATGTAAACTCTTCTAAACATGCATCTCAGGAAAACTAAAGTTGAAATAAAATATTACATTTACTATTTGCTGTGACCCCACTGCCTAGATTTATCATCAAAGCAGAACAGATTATCAAGCTTTTCCTCATAAACAGTGATGTACTAAGCTGCATCTCCTTGAATGGGACCTTCTTGACCTCACTCTACTCAGTGAGGTTGTCTAGAGCCAATACTAAAGTGCAGCTTAACCTTTATAGGACTTTTAATGAAATCAAATGGATGGGGTTTAGTGCTCAGGTTCCTGCTCTCTGCTAGATTAATTAAGAAAATGCACTGCTTTTCTGCATCGCCACTCTCTCATATAGGACAGTTTTTGTTAATGCCACTGAAGCAAGGGAAAATGCTGGCTGCACTGTAATATGAATCATTTAGAAAATGAGCATCTTGATCTCTCTCACTTTTGTAGCCATTTTCTTTCTTCTCTTTGATAAAAATTCACCTTTCTTTCTGCCTGTAAGGCTCTGTTTACAAACACAACACTACATATTAAAAAACAGTAGCAGCAATGATACTTCCTTGGCATTTCCCTATGGAAGACTCAATATTCTAAAGCTCTGATTTAAGTATTATATGTGTCTCAGAATAAACTGATTTCTAACTAGCTAGATGTTTTCCACAGTAATTGTTTTAAGGGTTCATCACAGGTATAGTATGCAGGAAAACTGACACAAGTGGTATGAAAGCCCTGACCAAGCAGATCTGCAGCTATTGGTAGCATGCTATGCATGCTGATTACTTAGAGAGGAGAGAAGGAGTACAGTTTTTTTTCCTGGTGCTGTCCTGAAGCCATTATCTCTGTGGGAAAGACAGTCCCTGTGTTGTATTTGCTCTGCAGAGCAGTGGGAGATGAACTCTGCTGCACATGGTGCTTGAACTGTCATGACTATTCACCTGGGAAGTATGTCCAGGAGAATTGAAGGCAAAACCTCATAATTAAGAACTTCCAGTGGGTCATGTGCATTTGGGGGTGCCACCTCAGCCTCAGCCATTTTACAGTTAGATCTGGGGAATGATGTGCAGCTAGAATCTAATCAGACATTGGCTTGTAGGTGGCAAATCCTGAGGGGGCTAATAATGAGATTGCTCTGTCTTGGGGATATTCATTAACAAGATCATCATCTGTAATGAGATTATCCTATCACCAGATAAAGTCATGCTCGGTTCATGCTGTGATGAGAAAGTTCTCAAAAGTAATTAACTATGGAGATGCAACGGGAGAAACTGTGGTGTGATGAAGCATGAATCAAGGTCTGGGTTCAAATAAAGCTGCATGCTATTCATGGCCTGCAAAGTTCAGTTTGAAGAAGGAACCAATGGAAGCAGTTTTATGTAAGCTGTGGTGCAACAGTGAACATTTTAAGCAATTGTTCAGACTTATTTTCAGGAAGAAATGTCTGTAAATAGTCAGAGACTGCAGTCACTCATTAACCACTTTTCATTTAACTTCATACATTTGACGTCAGAAGTAACGGAACAGAAAGCACCAAGATTAGCAGACATACTGAGCATCACAGTTATTGCATGAAGTAACACACAGTTACATCACAGGATTTCCTCACTGTTCATCACTATAGCTCTGTTGTTCACATAACGCAGCTGAAGAATGGTGAGAAAAAGTACTCTTCTCATTTTCTATGGAATAAGGAATTCAGAAGGAATAGCTTCCTAAGATCACTGATCATGTGCAGGTTTTACCTTTAAAACTAACGTTCATTAGACACTCTTGGCTATATTGCTACCCTTGCCAACAGCAACCCAAGTAGCTTCTATGACTGAACAAAGATGTTCCTGTGCCCTTCAGAACCAGACTCTTAAGAAACAGAAATGAATGAAAACCAGGATACTTTAAATTCTTATAAATCCTCAGAATCTGATTAGGCTTGGAAGAACAGGGCAGATATTTGATTTATAGGTTAAAATCTCCTGACTTCCCATGTATTTAAAGTAGCTTCTACAAATGTGCTTCATGCATAGCTTCCATAATATGATTGCCAAACAGACAAGAAAGGAATAACACAATGAAAACCAACCTGCAGCTTTTCTGAATAATTACAGTATTTCTCACTCATTTAATCAGTCTGGCCAAAAAAACAAAACAGGAAAAAAAGTTCTTGCAATTTCATATTTAGGGACTACTTCTCAGTTTGTATTGAAAAAAATACAATGTCAATTTAAGGCCTCCAAAATACATTTGAATCAGTTTTGGATGAAATATTAAACCTTGTAGAGCAGGATGTAAGTGAAATCTGATTTCTATGATTTAAGAAGTTTTTTTGCACCTTGCCTTGAAACATCTGGTACTGGATGTAATAACAGGCATCAAAACAAATGAAACAGCCCCATGACCTCTTTATTTCCTGCACAGGTTGTTCCAGCTACATGTGAAAATGATCCTTCTGTGTTGTTCTTTTTTCTGCTGACTAGAAGAGTCTGCTGTTTTATTCTATGATCTTGTTTGTCCAACAGATCTTGGATGAAATTGTGTATGCTCAGAGATTACGCACAATTTGGAACAATAACCTCCACATTTGTTCTATCTGCTGTATATCTGTGTACTTATCTGCCCTGTGGTCCTTGTATTTCTGTGGCTTTCAAGCCTCTTCAAAGTTGTGTTTAATAACCTTCAGATCTTTTTGTGACATAAACCTGCTGCTTCATGGTATTTGCAGGAAGAGATTTAAGTTTTACACTTCTCTTCTTAACGAGTAAAAAATGTCTAGTTTTTTTTTTGTTTGTTTGTTTACTTATTTATTTATTTAACTAAGACTTGGGTTATTCTAAATCTACTCTGCTTTGTTTTCAGTAAATAAGTTGCTTCCATTCAGCCAAATCTGTCTTATTTCCTCTCCAAACTACTCTCATTTTTATTGGAGAAAGAGTCAGGAAGTCAATGAATAAGATGGTAGCAGTTTGTTCAGAAGCTGATTATTAAAAACTATTAAAAAAAATTATTTACTTGCAGCATTTTAGTGGGGTTGATATTTAAGGCTTAATTATTTCTTTAAGACTTCAATTGTTTAATTGTTTACTGTTAGTAAAAAAGCTCAAACAAGCAACAAAACAGGTACATTATTTTCCTAGAATGGCTTAATTAAATCTTATTTATTTTGGGGGGAAAGTCTCCATATGATTTATGAAATGTTAGAATAAATTATGTCTTTATTGGGTCTTTGTTGAGGGAGAACAGTGAAGAGGATCAGTGGAAGATCCAGTGAAACTTAGATGAAGCTCTCAAAGGGAAACTTGAAGGGAAAAGGAAGATGTCCATATCTCCAGGAATTATTTTAAATGTGGTTAAATAAAAATACAAGGTCAGTTACTATATTGTTTTAAACATTGGTAACAGTACAAACGAATGGAACTATTAAATACTATGCTTCATGTCTGCTTGGAGAGAAATCTGTGTAAAAAGCAAAAATTATTCTAGCAGGTTTTAATTAATGAGGGAGTCTTTCAATATTTTGGAAATCTAATTAGCCCCCTGCGAACAACTAGCTAAACTCTTGTGAGCATCTCTAGACTTTTTCTGGTTGTCACTGATAAGCATCACAGTATTTATGAAGTATTTTATTTACATACAAAAACAGAACTTTCTATCCTCTCTGCCATTCTCTACTTTTTTTATCTGTTGCCTTCTGATAAAAAGCAAGTTTTTTACTTCCTTCAAGATCAAAACCTATGTCCCCAGAAATGGAAAATACAAGGAGCTGCAGTAAAGACTCCATTCTGCTTGTTTATTTTGTCTTTCTCGCCACCAGAAGCCATCTGGATGTTGCTTTGAAATAGATGGATTATGGATGAAGTTATCAGAAAGGATTAGTGTGATTAGAAAGACATTAATCCTGTCAAGAAGTAATGGTCAAGTATTAACCACAAGCAGTTGGTCCTAGAATCATGTTTGTTTTCATTCATCCCATTCCCACTCTCTCATTCTCATTCTGTAATTGCATGCCATAGAAAAGACCTAGCTAAGCAAATTCTCCTGGTGAGGCTGG